AGCACTGGAAGCACTGTCAGAAAAAGCTCTACTCTTTAGTTTAATTTGACCTGTTGGTTTTATGAAGGAATGACAAAAGCTGCCACTGAGAACTGAGAGTAACACTGCAGCACACTGACTTCAGTTTTTGGGAGGTGCTGACGAGGCTTTTCATTCAGAGCTCTCACCTCTCAGAGGTCATGTAGTACTTCCATATAGTTTACAGCATTTACTACAAGAGAAGTGTGTAGCTTCAGCCTGCCCTGGTTTTCCTGAACCCAGATGTACATGACAATGAATGCGCAATAAATCAGACATGTAATTTCAAAATCTTTTGTTTGTAATGCTCCCACAAAATGTCAGTCATTAAAAAAATCTTGAAAATTTTGTCTGAAGAGCAATTTTGGAATTGCTTTATATTAATTTAGTCATCAAGAAGGAATAGCTTGATATCTATATGATATTCTTAAAATAATTAGATTATCAATGACAACATGGACACAATAAAGAACTTTGGCCAAAGAGCAGAACTTGTGTCACTTCATCCAAACATTTTCACTGTGATATATTCAAAAGTAAAAGTTGATAAAAGAAAGTAAGTACTGAATTCTGTGGCTCAAAGTATGTCTCTACCTGGGTCAGGATTTGCAAAAACACACTGCAGACCATCACAGTAATCTATTGACCAGGACCTGTTGGAAGGAAGGGGCCAAAGCAAAGCCATCACTTTGCAGGACCAAATTTGGCAATGATCTGATCCTGCATATCAAAAGAGGGGTTTTTTTTCTGAAAGGACTTAAGCAGTTTCAAAGACAACACCTTTGAATGATAAACAATTTTCTGTGTCATATGCATTTTTAAATACATCCTTGCATTAAACTAGGCTAGAAAAGGTTTATGAAAAAAACCCAAACCAAATAAAGCAGTCATAGCTTGAAGTCAAATATACAGAAGACTGTTTTCTAGGTAGAGTTGAAACACAAGGCTTCTTTTAAAAAGGGAAACTTTACAGACCTTGTTCTGCATCATTAAGTTTTCAGGAATGCTGAATAGAGAATGATGGATTTAAGTTGCTGCTAGTATTTAATTTTGATACAGTTCAAGGGGCCACATCAGAAGAAGGAATCAAAGACAGAAAAAAACCAAACAACCAACCTGCTAACTGGTAAAACCATCAAAAAAAAAAAACAAAACAAAACAAAAAAAGGTATAAGAAGGTCCCAACACCTTTCAGCAGTGGCTGAAAATATCAGATTAAATTCTAGTATTCCTGGGGCATATTATTTGATGTGATTAGAATATAATTTGTTAAATAGAGCAGAGCTTTAATTTCAAACACTTCTTTCCTGAGTATCATCGATGGATTAAGGTTTTGGTGTGATTAAAATAAATGAATAAAACATTCCATCATTTTAACAATGATTTTTTGTGGTTGTTTTTCTTTAAAATAAGCCAATTAGTTGAAACGCACAGGTTACACATAGCTGTAGGGAAACTGAGGCTCATATCTTCAGTGTATGTCAAATTAGTCTTCTTGTAAAAAAATAACAACTGCATATTATTCTTTTCTACTTTTTTAATAAGAGAAGAGAAAATAAAAAAATAGAAAAGAAGAACCAATTTTTATACCTCTGGGGCAAGTTCCAACTCTTTTTTCTTCTTGAGGAAACAAATAAAAAGCTTTGCAGAAAGACTCCTAAAAAAATTGCCCAAGGGGAGGGAAGGAAACACCTTAAAACATCACATTACCAAACGCTGAGGTAATCAACTACAATCTGAGAAATGTCAAACAGTGGTATTCATCTACTCAAAGATTTTGCTGGTCAGGTTCTTAACTGCCATTTACAATCACTAAGTAAAATATGGAATATAGTTGTGGATATAAACAAGAGACAAATTAAGATTGGGAAGATGGGTTTAATAATCCTCTAAAAGAGTCCATCTGTTTTATAAAGACCCCTTTTTCCTTGATCTATGACATGTATTCCTAATATAGACAGCACTGGATTTTTTTTTTTCCTTACATTTTTTAAACACCCTGCTACTATAAACTCTACTTATAGTATATATCATCTGAGTGTTTCTCTCAAGTTTCAATTATGTAATCACTGAGGGGCAATAAAATTTCACACAGGTTCAGCCTGCTTTAGAGTAAGTATTATAACATCAGACAAATATAGATGCAATTCCTTTAGCACTGATTTTCAACAGCACTGGTTACTTCTTGTTCTTCTGATTTTTGCAAATACTTATCATATTATCACTGGAATAGCTGAAAGAGATTAAAAGCTCTTTCATGCTTGGAACTGGGGTTTGGTTTTGTTTTCCTGCTTAAAACAATTGAAAATCACACTGTTTGCCATGAATATAAGATTGATAACCTAAAAAAACAAAAAACTATGTGATTTGCATGTATAAAGGACTAAAACAATTTATAGCCTGTGCTTCCTATCCACTATGGAGAAAGGAAAAATACATCATTGACTACACCCTTCTCACAGATAGAGGTCACTAATGGACTGGATTTGAATCTGCCTAGTGAAAACCTGAAAGTTATATGAAAGTATCCTAGACAAAAATGAACTCATTTTGAGATTAAAGAGGTAACAGAAATGATTAAGAAATAAAGCTCTCACCTTCCTGGAAACATATTATCTTAAGTGTGCCTTCTAGTCCTTTGAATAGAAAGTTAAGTACAGGAAAAGCCTGATTGTTATACCTGCTTTAACTGCTTTTTGTTTTCTTCACTTGGTAAAACTATGTCTCTCCTTTGCTGCGGGAAGGGTAGGAAAGTCAGCCCTAATGACATCCCACGTTTTAGATACTGCTATTTTAAGCAGTTGTATGCAAGCACATTCTTGATTCTTGAAGGAAAGCATAGCCTATGTAATGCAGATTCCAACTGGAAGGGTGTAGGGTTGCGCAAAGGAGATATGCCTATATCCTAAATCAAGCTATCCAGCAGGCCAGGAGGATATAAATGTAACTTGTAACAGTGGCTCAAATTAGATCCAGACTTCCCCAAGCCAAACACAGATAACATCACCTTATACAAAATATGGGGTGTACGTGTGCGTGAGGAGCAGCCCTTAAGTATGCTGGGTGCATTCCAGCTCCACTTCTTGCTAAAGCCTTGGACTTTGGAAAACACTGATGACTGTTCTAGTCACAGGTAGTTTTATAGACACTGTATTTGCACAGTGCTCTGACTTGTTTTACCTACAGTACTCCAGGCCTGAACTCCCTTAACTGCCTCACTACCAAATCAGCACACAGAACAACCATTGAAATACTTCTTGAAATCTCTCCTCACATAATTTTCAGAAACAAGATCAACACTAACATTCTGACATCACTTTTGTCACATAGAAATAATGACTTTAAAATCACCTCTGTCTTTTTTTATTATACAATGTTTAGATCTTTTCCATTTTGCAAAGTTTATGTCTCAGTGATAACATTGCATATATTGACTCTTTCAAAGAAGAAAGGAGAGAAAGGTGAATAGAGATATAGGTTCAGTACCTTTTAAGAGTTTTGAAAAAAATGCCAGGATGAACTTTTCTCCTTCCAAAAATACATATATCAAAAATCAGTTCATTAGCTTTTTCTTAAACTACAAATATATAAAGGTCTTTCTTTGGAGAAAGACCATGTCAGTGAATGAAGCAAGGAATTTAGTCCATGGAAATACTGGGGGGTTTTTGTATAGTTAGTTGGATTTATTAAACCCAAGAATTGATCAATCTCAACCTCTAAACTGGCTTAATTTCCCTGCAAGCACTACAAAGTTAGTTACAGTAAATAAACCTCTCTCTAACATACGCCCTGACTTTCAGAGAGAGAAGTGGGGGGGAGAGGGAGAGGGAAGGAATGAGAGAGGGAGAGGGAGGTAGAGAGGGAGAGGTCTAACTTGCTTTTAGTATCTTTTCCTGCTCCTCGTGTAAGGAAGCTCTCCCTTTCTATTTGGTTGAACGTGCATTACAAAAGGCAGTATCTGAAGAAATATAATCAGTACCTTCCACACACAGTGCAGGAATTTACACGGATTTGTGCCTTGGATTTATTAGCTTATTGTAAGCCTTAAAACAGATTTCCTCCATTAAAATTAATTAAAAGCTCCTGTTGACTGCTTCCCACTCCGAGAAGAAGGTGGATAATCTTGTTGTCTTAACTTTAATGATTGTTTATTTATCTTTTATGGGGCTTTATATCATATTCAAGAGAGGTCTTTTCAGCTGCTTGACTTCCTTTTGCCATCTCCTATTTTTTGTCCACACACCATCCCCAGGCACACAGCCCCCCGCAGTATTTATTCTTATTTTGTCAGATCCCCGTCTAACTCGTCAGGTCTCTGAGTGGCTCCTTTGTATTCCCAAGTCTTGATCAGATTCTCTCAGCCTCTCCCTCACGCACTCACCGCCAGCCCCGCTCCGGAGGCTGCTGAGGGGGATCGGATGGATCCTCCTGCCGGGCGCAGCTCCCGATTCTCCCCGTAGATTCCACAGCACACGGCAGCTCCGAACTAAGCCGACTACCCCTGCCAAGCAAGGCTCACCTCTAAGGTCCCGTTTCTCCCAGCCAGCTCCCAAACAGAGGCTGGCGGTGCTCACACGGCGCTCTGCCGGTGCCCCTGCCGCAGGGGTAGTCCTCGGCTCTCCCCTCCCCTCGGGGTGGGGGCCGGCTCGGCACCCTCCCTGCTCGGCGCTGGAACGCGACCGGGGACGCGGGACCTCGCTGCAGCTGCCAGCGCCGAGTCCGCTCCTGAGCCTCACGCTGCCGCCACACAGCCCGGGGACCCTGCTAGCACTTGCCGCCGGCCATTCATAAATCCTGCTCGCGTGTGCCCGGCGCCGCGGACACGGGGCTCTAACGTGGCGAAGGCGGTATTTGTGACACAACCTGGTCGCGGCTCCTCAACTTTGCCATCTGGGAACAGGCAAAGGGCACCGCGGCTTTAGATCGCCCGGGGCTAGAATTGCCAGAAAGGAAAAGAGTAAGAAATGAAATCCCAACTGTACCTGGCGGTGTCTGGGAATCCCTCGCCGGCACCGATCGTAATCCCCCTCCGCGCCTCTGGCCCCCCACACCAAAACTTTGCCGCCGCCGCTCCTCGGTGGTGGCCGCCGCCGCCCTCCGCCCGGCGCCGCTCCCGGCCGGCCCCGCGGGCCCGTTCCCCGCCGGCCGCCGCCGCTCCGAGCGACCCCCGCGCCTCCCGCGCCTTCCTCCGCCCTTACGAGGCGGCGGCATCGTCCTACCCCCTGCTCCGCCACCTCCTCCTCCGGCGCGCAGCCCACGGCTCTGGCATTCCCAACGCACTTTCTCTCCTCGATTCGCTCTCTCTTTCCCCCGCCGTTCCTCCTTCTCCGGTAAAAAAATAAACGAGAGGAGACCGCGGCTACGCTTGGTCTTGGGGTTTCTTTCTTTCTGTTTTTTTTTTTTTTTTTGGTTGCTTGCCCTTTTTTTTTTTTTTTTCCTCTTTCTGTCCTCTGGAAATGATGAAAGGATCACATGAGGAGCAGGCACAGCGACCCAGGACCCTGGTAAGTCGGAGAAGGCATCGGACACATGTATGTGAGTATATGTGTGAGCGTGTGTCTGGCTCTCTCCAAGTCCTGCGCCTGCCTCCAGCCGGGATTGCAGGATGATCTTAGCAGTAGTGATGCCTCACATCTCACTATTCCCTGCTAATGTAAGTCGTGCCTTTTTTTCCTCCCTGCCTGACACCCCAGGGAGATGTTTACAGTAATGAATTCAGTTGATAGCCATCTCTCTCTCTCTCTCCTGGAGTCCCTCCCACATTTCTAGTTTAAAGAATGCTTGGAAGGCAGGGCTGCAACCTAAAGCTTTCCAAGAGGCAAAGTCAGGCTAGATTTTCTCTTTTTCTTCTTTCCTTATTTCCCTCCCCGTCCCCCTCGTCCCCCCCGGCTGCATTTAACCCCTGGGTTGCTGAGGGCAACTTAGCGAGTTTCATCTGTTTGGACTGCCCCGCTCCCCCGCTTTCGGCAGAGGGAACCAAGCGGGCGGCGCTGCCGGGGGATGTACGGGCTGCAGAGACCCCGATCCCGCCCTGCCTCGGGCCGAGCCCGCCGGGCCGGCGCTGCGGGGAGGAAGGTGCGCGTCTCGCCGTCCTTCGCGGCGGGACTGCCCCCACCGCCGCTCCGGGCACTGCCGAAGTGTATCGGAGCGTGTCGGAAGGGAAGCCGGGAAGTGAGCTGAAAAACTCCCCGAGCGGCGCTTCTGGGAGATGCCCTCTCTAGCAATAATTACAGCCGTGCTCTCCAACAACATGGCGATATTTCATGTGCAGCCGCCGACAAGCCCGCCTCCCCCACCCCCTTCTTTTCCTCTCCTTCCTCCCTTGCGAACTTTTAGATACACAGCACCAGTATTCAACAAATATAACACAGAATAAAAGAATATCCAGCCCTCAGGGAAGAGACGGACCTCCTCTAGTGTTCTGTCTGATTTTCATAATCAGTCATAAAGACTTAAAAACCTCTGGAGAAACCGCCTTTTGCCCTAAAGCGGTAACAACACCCACTCCCCCTCCCCCCCCGCACCCCTCTATTTCTCCTGTACACATTCAGTGCGTGTATATATGAGTGTGTGCGTGTGTGTGTGTGTGCATGCCGGGCTGGCTGCGCTTGTTTCGTAGTAACCCTTCCCCCGCCGCCCAGCTCCCTAGTAGGTTACTGCCTTGTCCTGGAAAGTCCACTTAAAGACAAGGCTATTTAAAACCGAGAAGCACTTGAGCGATAGGATACAGCCGTCAGGGTAGGATGTGGGATGTGCGAAGAGAATTTGCCTCAAACTCCTACATTAGTAAAGAAAACGCACAGCACAGCTTTTGCTGTGAGTTGCTTTAAGAAACGGGCTGCGGAGGGATGGAGGAGAGGGAGCTGATCAATGCCATGTGTCGAGGAAACAGAAAAGGGAACCGAAATGCCTCGGGGTTGGCTTCCCCCTCACCCCTGGCTGCTCAGTGGCTTCTATTTGCTCGGCCGTACCTCAAAAGCTGAATCACTCGCTATTAGCTCTGCGCCTCCTTCGCCCTTCGCTTGGGGGGGCTAAACCACGCACGACTTCAAAGGCTCAATAAAGCCATAGCAAAGAGCTCCGGCCAGGGCCAGCCCAGCCCCGTGTGCTCGGCGCAGCTCCTGCCCCCGCACTCGCCCTGCCCTCCACCTCCTGCCCTCCGGGGGCTTCGGAGAGTCCCCGCGTATGGACAGCCCGGAGCCGCGCCGAGCCGAGCCGAGCCGCGCCGCCTGCTCGCTCGGAGAAGGACTTGTGCCCTCACCTACGCGGAGTGGTGGGGGTGGGGAGCGAGCACGGACGGGGGAGCGCAGGTAGCCAGTATTTCTTAGGGGACTCAGCAAGAGGAAGGGAGTTAAGGACGAGACCCCGCTTCTCTCCCTGCTTTACGCCCCAGGATGGAGGGGAGGCAGCCCGGGCCCCTCCGCGGTCCCTGCCGGACGGGAAGAAGAGGGTGTGACACCGGTCAGTCCCGCGGTCAGAGCCTGCACCCCCTCCTCGGAGCAGGGGCTGCTCTGTAGTCGAATCTGCTCGCTGATGCCAGCTGGTCCCGAGGGATGAAAGGATCAGGAGTCCTGTAGAGTACAAAGGCTAATGTTCTAGGTATTTTTTCACTTTTTAAGATCTTTCTTTCTTTCTTAGCCTCTGCATACTTTTCAGAGTTCGTATTTGAGCATGATTTATATCTCCTTCATGAAGCTGATGGACAGCCACTGCATTTTCTGGCGAAAAAAAAAAACCCTCTCTCTCATATGTAATCCACCTGTCCCTCTGTTTTCCATGTCCCCGATGTTAGCAACCTGTCGTCAGCACAGAAGGCAGAGCTGGCCATTGTCGATCACAGGTATTTCTGCCCTCTGTGCCCCTAATCAGGGAGGAAAGTGGGAATGTTAAAAACTTCTGCAAGGCTGCAGGCAGTTGCCTTGCTCCGCAGTCTCAGAGGGATTAGGCAGAATTATTCCTGTTCCTGTCCCTGGACCCTCAACCAGCCTATACTTCAAATCAGTGAATGATACTCGGGACACGTTTTGGTCAATTGTGTCAATCCAGAAAGTGACTTAATCAGGCATTACCTGCTCCTGCGGAAGTGGGTTCCTTCTCGGTTTGTCACCCAAAGCCCACCGGGTCCGGCAGGTTGAAAGGGGAGAAAGTGGCAGCACAGCTGGGCTCCAGCATGGTACTGTTTTAAGGATCACCACCGAGGTCTCTGTTTTCCATAGATGCCAATGGTCGCCAACACCCAAGGTTGCTCTCAAGGAAAGGAGGAAAGAAATTATCTTCTCAAACTGCTCTCCAGCCGGTCATTTGACCCTGACACCCACCGATGACACTGAAGAACACCCCGTTGAAGCGGCTAAACGCCTCGCAATTTCCTGTCTTCTCTTCCCCCAGGCGGCCCCGGCGCACCGCCGCCGAGCGATCTTATCGCCGTGCGACCATTATTCACCGGTGACAACCAGAGATGCAGCGCTCCTAAGTGAGGGTGACAGATTTCAAACGCGGGGCTGCAGCGTATCCAGCCTCAGACATATTCTTCCTCAAACTTTGCCTAGCAAGGAAGTCAGCGGCTTAACCCTTTGCAACTCTTTCACTCGCCCAGGGACCGGGACTTTAGCACCGGGGAATACTGGTTGGGGGGAATGCAGGACAACACGGCTACTTGGCTGGGAATTCTTTTTTATCTGTCATTTTATATTCTTGGTTATTTTCACTTGAAACAGATGAGAACCGCCAACTCTGGGGAGCAGATGGAGGGCTTTTCTGTGATTGGGGGCTGGAAAAATCCTCTTGGCAAAGCAGATCGCTGGGGACTCACCTGTGGTCCCTCTCTGTCACCGTGTCTGCAAACTCATCTGCATGGCACAAATTCCTCTCATGTGCACATATACAGAGCTTCTGCACTTTCCCCAGCGTGGTGTGGTTAAAAGTACAATTCCAAAAGTGCCATTTCACTCAGATCTCCAGAATCAGCTCTTTTACAGGTTATTAACTACAACAGAGAAAGGAGCAAGTGAGAAAGAAACTAATTTTCAGGAAAGAAAGAAAGAAAGGGAAAAAAGCCTTTTTCACACATGCACTTTGAATTCAAAGGAAATATTTACCACCACCAAACTCCAGCATGTCAGAGCACGTTTCCTCCTAAGCACAAGAAACCTTAAAACTGAGAGAAAAGCATGTGCAATTCAAAGATGAAATGAAGTGCTTGAAATCTTTCCAAAGTGTGTACCACCAGCCCAGAGCCCGATGTCAAGACAACATCAAGACAACAGGGAAACAAGATTAACAAACTCTATTGGTTGCCTAGTATTCATTTATCTATATTTTCAGTGCATTATGATATTTCTGTTACCCTTGTCTGCCCCCACCTCTCCCCTCCCCTCAAAAAAAAAAAAAAAAAAAAAAAAAAAAAAGGAGGGGGAGACACACGACCTCTGCCTGCAGCTGGTATTCCGGGAGGTCCTTTCAGAGCCCCTGTGGTCACGCTGTATGAAGGATGGAGGGGCAGGTAGATGTGTAGGAATGGTAATTTCAGTGCTTTCTTCATTAAATGTGTAAGATAAGGCTGGACAAGGGAGGAGATGAATCCTACAGTAAGCAAAAAGACAGGAAAAAAATACATTCTCCTCCCATCCACAGTTTTAATTTCCGATTTTAAGCGCGGCAGGCAAATAAACCTCATTTGAAGAACAACCCCCAGCCACACTCAGCCATCCCCCCCCCCCCCCAAACTCCCCCAAAACTGACCCTTTAGCCATCACACATATCCTGACCAGTGTGCAGGAGCAGCTGAGGCGAGCGGGGCCGTGCGCGGCCGTGGGCGGGAGGTGTGTTGGGCAGGAGCGGCGGCGCTGCCACAGGTGCGCGGCGGGAGCTCCGCGGGCGCGGAGCGGGGCCGGCTGCACGTCCCGCGGCGCGGCCAAGGTGGCAGCAGAGCACAGCGGTAGGATGGACACTTCCCCCCGCGCCCCTGCCGACACGCTCTGTTTCAGCTGCTGCACGCCCCTTCCCCCGCTTCCCCCCTCTCCACCTAATCTTGGTAATAGTCTGATTACTTGGACTTTAAACAATTTTTCCCCTCACCGTCACCAGACTATAAATGTGTCAAGGATGTATTTATTTATTTATTTGCTAGCAAACCGCTTTGCATGGTTGCAAAGCTGTAAACTAAAAGGAAAGGAAACTAATAGGAAATATATTCTCTTTGAATTATCTGTGATCATACAAGAGGGCTAGCCTGGAGTGATGGTCCAGTGATCCATAATACAACCTCACTTATTTTATAGAAAATGTAAGATGGGATAACATTAAGAAATGCTATAAAAATGGAAGTGTCTTTTTAAATACTTTTTTTCTTCCAGCTATATTGTTAGATTGATTTCTGCAGCTTGCAAGAAAGAGGGTAAAAGGAAATGGAAATAATTTTGTAACTGAGAGGTTGATCTAAATCATACTGAATAATCTCAATTTTGTCAGTAATGTAAGATTTTACTTCAGGCCTTAAATTCATGCAGCTGACAGAAGGGAAAAAACCACTAAATAAATTCTTCATCAAATTTTGAAAAATCAGCTTATTAAAGAAGGTTTTGAGGAAGGAAAGGGAAAGGAAAGAGGATGGGGAAGGAAAGAGAAAGGAAAGGGATGGAAAAAGAAGGAAAGAAGCAGAAAGGAAGGGGAAAGGGAAGGGAACCAGGTAGACATAGAATATTGATGTTTTTTACCACAGTTTTCATGCTGATGACAGTTGCACAAATGTAGATCAATCCAACCAACATTTAGTTGAATTTGATAAAATGAAGGTAATTAAAGTGGCTAAATCATGATGTAAAAATGAAGCAGTCATTAAACATTATTATGCATTGTTTCTTTGTGGTGTTATTGGGTTCTTTTTTAATGTATAAGCAATGCAAGGGAAAATAGAATAATGAGAAAAACTGAAATCAACACCTATATGAAAAAAATAATTTTATGACTGACCTACCTATCTACCACGGTGAGTGAAAGGCATAAGTAAGACCTTCTGAATAACATACAAATAGCCAACATAAGTTTTTTCTTTCACATCTTCTAAGCATGATCATTAAGGTCCTGTTCATTGTCATATGCAGCTTTTAAATAAAGGAATATCTTCCATCTCTGGTTCTGTCATTGGACCTTTATATTTCTGGAAAAAATAATCCACATCCTGCTATCAGACAAACTCTTGCTTCACTATATAAAGCTGAAACACCTCAGTGAAAGTCACACAGCACTCATTAAGTTGCTCCTTCTGCATTCAGTGCTCTTCTTTTATTCTAAGTGGAGAAGCCTAGAAGGCAGACTATCAATCTACTGTAGGGAAAACATCCTTTTCTGATCACAAAGCTATCCTCCTAGTCTCCTATGTGAGTTCAATAGCTCACTCATTCTAATTTCCTACTGGTTAAAAATCAGATTTATTTGTACTTTCTTATCCACAGGTTTGTCAAGCTCAAATCATTCTTTCACTT